AGCGGCGGGGTAGCGGCGCAAGGGGAGCGAAAGACCAACAGTGCTTTAATGCGGGATAAGTTTCACATTTGGCCCAACGGTGGCAAGTGGCGCCGTAATGAGATGAACGCACAGTGGCGAAGAGTGTGGCGAAGCGAGGCGGATGATGTGGTGAGTGCTCGTAAATGTTTACATGCCACCTACAAAGTACAAACATACAGACAGAATGCGAGTGACTTATATGCCAGCGGAGAGATGCCGCGTGGCGGGCGGTGAGCGGCGAGCGGCGCGGGAGACAATGTTAAAATAACGCACTGAATTGCATTTTCAATTTGCTTATCTACGAGCAATTTCAATGAATGGAAGTGACTTTGTGCGACGCGCAGGCGAAATGCCAATGTGTCTTACAAATTTGATTAAATGTCGTTCGCACCGGAAGTGCTGCGGTTGCGTGTGCGTGTGTGTGCGCGCGAGGAGCCTTGAAAGTGAGAATGTGGAAATGTTGCTGCGTGCCTTCATGTGCATGCGCGCGCGCGTTTTCGTGTGAGTTTGTGTGTGAACCTGTGTCATTGCGCTATATGTCAACTGTCAACACCTCATTTGCAATTAAAGGATGAAAAATAAATAATGTTTATAGGCATACACACATACAACCGCACGCATACACCAACCACTTAAAATCCACGTACGTGCATGCATGACACTGATGCAGCATAGCAGCGTTAATGTAGTTGCACGCAGCGCGTCCGACTAACAGCACTTGGCATCATCAATAATCAATAAAGATGCCAAAGGAAAATAACAAAAAAAAAAATCACTAAAGAAGCCGAGCGCGGAAGAAAAGTTGATGGCAGTGAATGGAAGAACGAAATAAAAATTTTCGCCTGAAAATATTCCACTCAAAGGATAATTTAAAATTCCTTTTTTCGGCTGTGTGCTGTGAGGACACAAAAGTGCTTTAGTAGGGCTTGAGAAGCCATGTGGAGGCAAACCCACATCCCTGTGTATGTGTGTATGTGCTCGAAATACTTGCTTGAGTAGACATGAGTATTTTGTTGTTACTTTTTACATATTTTATTTACATTATTTTTGTGTTAATTTTCATTGCTACTTTTTACATTTCTCTTCCTTCGGTGTATCGACACTCCGTACTGTGGAAGCATCAATTTGCAACGAATGCCTTTGTGCTGTTGGCACGCATAGTCGCTGCATCTGCATAAGTGCAATGGCAACGTCACTCCGACCGGCGTGTGAGACGTTTCATTTCCTTATCGCTGCGCAAGTGCCAATCGTTGAGGTTGTGTTAGCAATAGCTTTTGGCTTTTGGCTTACAACTTTACAGCAACAACTTCTCCACATGCTAATCCTATTTAATGTTTCTATTCACACAGTAATAAATTTTCCACCAACAATACCACCCACATTTCGGCATTGAGAAAATATTGCAGGAACTGTACGTGCTTGCGTGTGTGGGTTTGTGTGTGTGTGTAAGCTTTTAGGTACTTGATGTTTTGGCTCACGATTTTTCCCATAATCCGAAATTAATAAGGCTTTGATCGAGTTTAGAGAGTTCACCTTTGTGTTCGAGCGCTTTTATATTCGATCCCTCACATATTACATACATATGTACATATGTATATAAGCACCACATTTGTCTTCTTATAAATCATCAGAATATTAACTTTAGCTTAAAAGCAAATATAAAAGTATTTAGTCATAAAAATAAAGAGCGAAGGATCCGGGAATACATAGTCTCTTACTTTGAGCACAAAATTCACAAATACTTTTAAGCTTTGGAGTACTTGAATGCAAAAATTTTAAACAAAATGATATTAAATTTATATTTTTTTCATATGGTGGGTTCCAAACGCTATGCACATCACTTGTGTCAGCTCGCCTGCAAACGGATATTTGTCGGTTACCCAGAGGATACTCGCTGAAAGAACGGAAGCCGTGAGCTGCTTGAACCATATGTAAGAGAATCGTTACTGGCCTCCTCACCAGCATGAACTTCTACATATGACCCCATCCTCTAAGCCTTCCGATGCGTTGCTCACCCGTAGAAACAAAGGAAGTGGAAGACCTCCACTCCACTGGAAGGATCAAGTGAAGAGCGACCTGGTTTCACTTGACATTTCCAACTGGCGCTAAACAGCGAAGAGAATAACCGAATGGCGCGCTGTTGCTGATTCGGCTATAAGCGCGTAAGTGGTGCGGTGCTCATATCAATGAAGAAAGAGTTCATCGCCTAAATTCGGATAGGCATGTGTTTGTGTTCTCTATTAAAATTTCAGGAAACCTATTGTTCTGGTAAGAGAATACATTTTCCATTTTGATTAAATTTTTTTTATTACAAGGAAGAGTTTAAATAGCTGAGAAAGACTAATTTTCGCTAGCTTAAAAACACTTTTTGGAGAGAAACTTTTTTTGCACTATTTCGCATGCTTCCTATATACACTTTTAACGGTATTGAGTATCACTTGTCCTATTTTGAATTTTTGTGGTGAAATCGGATCTAGTCTTCGAACATTTACGTACACGATCTGATGTGTACTTAGCCTCACAATACCATGGCGCCATCATCGCATTCCATCTACCATCCAACATTTCACTTGTAACCCCGTTTAAAGTATTGTTGATTGAGTCTATAAGCTTATTTGCTGAAATCTTCAGTAGAGTTATTTTCGTCGAAAATTAAAGCTTACTCAAATTTGATTCGACGAAAGAATTCAATCGCGCTTTATTACGGCTTAAGTGTTTTCTGGCCGAGCTTCTCTTTTAAATGGTGTTGATGAACCCATGGTTAGGTCGTGGAGCTTTGTTGAAACCGATTATAGGTGTTACTCCCTGTAAAAAACCCTGCATGAGCATTCCTTCTCCTATAGTAAACTAGTTCAGATACTCCGATGGGATAAGCAAATATTCCCCTTCTGTGAATTATGTGAAGTTCGTTGCGAGAATCTGCTCCTCTACCTTAACGAACCGTGCGAAAACAGGCATCTGCAATCAATCCAAAATGTACTAAAATCCATTCATTAATACGAAGAGCCATGACATACTCGTAATTAGATTCGCTACACATAGCGAAATCCCGGAACACGTCATACATATCAGTTGATTATTTTCGTGGTATTGACGGTGGTATTGGGATCATTGCTTTGTGCCCCGCATGATATTATTTCAGCATGTTCAGTTCTCATATTGGCTATATCTTTTTGGCAACACTGGTTTGAAGAACTGAGGCACGTTTCGTGTTTTGTGTAACTCTCAAACATCTTCAGTTTGGTCTAGATTTCAATTATCAATTTTATTATCACAATGCGGACTCTGTTAAGAAGGTTAATCGCGCGCTTCTTAAATTTTATGGTCAGTTTAATCGACCCACTAGAGTGGCCATACGGGGTCATTCCGATCAAATTTACATTGTTGGATCTTAAACCACGAACACCCTTACGTAGTGTGCGAACTGAAGAAAATATCGTATCGGACAGTGTGAATGTTGACCATCAATTATCGAACCGTAGCCGTTCGCAACCATTGGGCCTCTGTTACTCAACAACGTTGAAAATTTTGCGGAAGGATTTAAGAGTGAAGCCTTTCAAAATACAGCTGGTGCAAGAATTGTAGCCGAACGACTTACCGCAGCGCAGAATTTTTGATGAATGGGCTCTTGGAAAGTTGTCCAAATATCCAATTTTTTTATCGAAAAATTGTGTTCAACGACGTAGCTCACTTTTGGCTTAATCGGTGCGTAAATAAGCAGAATTTTCGATTTGGGAGTGAAGATCAGCCCGAAGCATGGCAAGAACTTGACCATCCAGAAATGCATCCAGAAAAAGTCACAGTTTGGTGTGATTTATAGGCTGGAGGCATCAATGGACCACACTTTTTCAAAGATGATGCGAATCATAACGAAACTGTGAATGGTTAGCGCAAGTTTCAAATTCGTGGTTACCAAAGTACACTGCCGTGTTTTGACTTCTGTCTAACTAAACTGCCAAACTTAACATGTCTTGTTTCAATTTCATGGCTTAAGAGGAGATTATGTTTCACATGATCGTTCAAGAAATTGGTAGAGTTTTAAAGAAAGTTGAAGAGACTTCCTCGGTTTGCTCGTATCCTTACTGTAAGTGTAAGTAACAGTACAGCCGAAAACCCGAATCTATCTATTTCTCGGCGTTTTCAAGAACTGGGGTCTGGCATATCTTGCATTTGGACTTACACCTACATCCACATTAAGTTCAGCTCACACAACAACTGAAACCAGCTGACCATTCACATGTACGACGATTGGATGCTTGAACAGGAAACAGTTGACGGGAAATACATACGTAAATAAGCAAAATTATCGCATTTGGAGTTTCGAGAATTATTGAAGACCGGCCATTACACCAAAAAAAAAACTTACTGTTTGGTACGCTCATTCGTACAGAGGTATAATTGGAGTTTACTTCTTTGAAATTGATAACAGCGAGCCTGTCACTGTATATTCGGAACGTTGTGGTCCTATGATAACCGCCTTTTTGTTTTTGACCTGCTTTGGAGAAAAGGAAATACATAAAGTATGTGGTTTCAACAAGATGGTGCCACAAGCCATGCAACTCGAGCGAGTATGGCTTTTTTGCGAGTATGGCCGCATAAGCTCTCATCTTGGCGATACCAATTGGCCACCGATTTTCTTTGCGGGGCTGCTCGAAACACTTAATAACCAACATTCGTGAAGTTACGGCTGAGATAAGTAGTGCCCAATGTGTACCAGAAAGTGGTCGAAAATTACCTCAAATGGATTATGGTACGCGAGGTTCTGAGTTGAGTGATGTTTCCCAAGTAAAGACAAGTTCTGAAGTTTATAATCGAAAAAAAATCCCAAGAAAAAAATTATTCAAACAAATCAAGGAATGAATGAGATTGCATTCCCTTCCCGGTTTCATACGCCTTGATTAAGGACTTTCTTTCAATGTGACTCGAATGACTTTCTTCTTCTATTTTAACTTTATTTATAGGCAAATAACGCAAATTCTCTATAATCTTTTATTCGAACGTGTATAAAACGCATCAGCATATGGCCCAACATCGTCGTCCTCTGAATCGCCAAAGTTATTATGTCCACTCACATGAGCTGGCGATGAGTCCGAAGACCAAGTATACGAGCCTCTTTTATAAGCGTTCGAAGAAGAAGAGCCCGCTACATAAGACCATGGATGAGAGGACTCGCTTTGGCCTCTATGGGGACGCAATGGATGACGATCTATAAGATAGTGCTGTTGTTGATGCCGATCGGAGTAAAAAGATGACGGCTGCTGAGAATGATGATGGGTGCCATAATGATGTTGGAAGTGATCATGCGGTGGCGCCTGTTGATGATGATCCTCGTCATATTGGTCGTGATTGATCGGCCGCGGTTGATTCAAGTCGTGATAGTGCTGTTGCTGTTGCTGTTGATGTTGATGTTGATGTTGCTGAAAGTGGTTTTGGTCAAAGTGATGTTGATGGTGTTCGGTTTGTGGCTCCACTTGCGGCTGAGGCAGTTGAGGTTCATACTCTTCCTGCTCGAAGTGTTCGTGTGGATACCCGGTGTTGTGCTGTTGTTGTTGTTGTTGTTGCACATGTTGATTGAAGTTATGAGGGTGGCTTAAAGTTGTTGCTGAGTTTATTGTTTGATTGGGATACGAATGTTCGGCGTCATACAACCCTGGACGTGGATCGCGTATCGCAGTCACAATACCTGGCCTTACAGAAGGCGCTGGGGCGAATTGATACTGACCAGGATTCCGATTTTCGTCGTTTGCCTGATTATAGCTGTGTTTGTGGTTGTTTGGTTGGTTATAATTTGACGTGAGGCCGCCATAGTGTTGTTGCACAGCATTACCAGTGTTGCTGCCATAACTAAATTGCGGTTCACCCGGTTGGTGAAAAACATTATTCTGACCATTGTTACTCTGCTGGTTGTTGTTATAATTATTATTGTTGCTGTTGCCACTGGTAACACCTACACTTCCTGCAAAACTATTACCCACATTCGCTGAACCCGGTACACTTGGCACTCCACCACCGCCATCACTATATGGCGATGTTTGCAAGTTCGCCCCAGCAACTGGTGGAACTACAGCAGATACAGAATTGACGCTCGTCACACTCGCAGCAGCCGCCGCCGCCGCTGCAGCGGATACCACATCCTCCGGCTGCACGACAATATTGGCACCCGACGTGAAAGCCGAAGCCGACGAAGTACTCTGTTCTCGTGAGTTTATTTCCGCCAATTTGTTGTTACGATTGCGTGCGGTCTTCGCCGTCATAACCATAACAGTGGGATTCATAGCTTCCATATTGTCTTTGAGGCAATTTTGCAGTAAATTTATAAAGAAGAAGAAGGCCAACAAAGTGAGTGCATTCATGGTGTTTGCATTACTGTTATTTTTCTTCTTCTTCTTCTTGCCACCGCCCTTGCTGGGCAAAGTCGGTTGGGGTCGAGCGTAGTGCTTGGGTGGTGTTGGTGCGTAGCCACCATAACTGGTGCCACCAGTGGTATGATGTGAATATGAGCCACCTGTGGGTACATGTACCGGTGGTGGTGGGTGATATTCATGACCGCCACCGCCAGCATCGCCGGAGGGCGACTCATAGCTGCAAATTTACATTTAGGGCAGAGCAAAGAAAGAGATAGCAAATTAACAATTACTGTATGTAGGCCGAGTATCCAATATTTTCTTACCCGTAACCAGACTGACCAGTGCCACCGCTGCCCGTTTGGCCAACACCCCAACCAGCAGCAGCACCCGTTGGATATGAATTATGCAAATGAGTGCCATCGGCCATAGGCGGCATTGGATAAGAGAAATGATTTTGATATCTCCCACGATCCTGAGCATTTCTGAAATTAGCACAAAATTGTAATAAAATAATGCAAAAAAAATTAATGAAGAGCTTTTCAAACAGGAATTTGTTATCTCGAAAATGTTGCAAACTCACGCATATTTGTCCATATTGCCGTTGATGGCCGCCAACAGTGGATGAATTGGGAAATCATTGTATGTTGGGGCGTGATTCACTGGCACCTCATCATAATCCTGATACATTTTTAACGAAGCAAATACTCGCTTTGTCCTTTCAATTAACACTAAGTTTGTTATCTGAAAAAAGGAAAGAACATAATTTATATTAAAAGGGGGAATGTGAAAGGAAGTGAAATGTCTGCAGTGTCAGCGACTAAACGAGGTTAAGCATTGAAATCATATTGAATTGTGGCAAGAACAGCAACACACCGACACTGTGGACACTGGCAATACGGTTCTTAATTCCCTAGGACCACAAGTAGAAAAACCATATTTTTAAACCTTTCATGAACATGAAACCCCTTAGTCCCAAATATTATATTCCTTTCTGTCCATATGTTTGAACGCAAGCTAGTCTATCAGTTTTGGAGATTTTTTTAGAATGAGACTTTTGCGTATTTTTGTAATGTGATCATCTGGCGGTATCGATCAGATGGGTCGTGAATAACATATACACGGTGTGTCCCAAAAATAACCGAACTTTATATTTAAATCATACAACATACAGCGCCATCTATTGAAAATTTGCAACATTAAAAAGATGCATTCATCCTCTTTCAAACGCACCTGACATCATGTAAGTCGAATGACAGTTGTAAAAGTGACAGCCATTTCGATAAAACCAAAAGTGTGCTAATGGTTCAAAAATAAAATGGGACAAAGAGCAAATATAAAATTTTGTGTCAAACTTGAAAAGAATTAATGAGAAAAGTTTATTGTGATGATTGTATGAGTCGTAATTATGTGTTTATGCGTGGTTTACATGATTTAAAAATGGTCGTGAGGATTTAAATGACGACCCTAGAGCGGGACGTTCAGAAACCAGTAATCGTGCTGAACTGGTGGAAAAGGTCCGTGAAATCATTGGTATCGATGCAAATTTTACTACGAGAATGTTGGCTGAGGAATCGAATACGAGTAAAAACACTATTTGGAGAATGTCAACTAAACATTTGGGGAAAAGAAAGGTCTGTGCGCGATTTGTTCTGCATAAATTAAATGACGACCAAAAAATCGCTCGAATTTTTAATAAAAAAAAGGGAATTCTCTTATCAACCATCCTCCGTATTCGCCTGATCTATCACCATGTGACTATTTTTTGTTTCCAAAACTTAATACCAAGATGAAAGGAGCATTTTATGATGATATCCCAGCCATTCAAGCAGTCGTAACCGAGGTACTGAAGAACATCTCTATAAATGGCATAAAAAAATCTATGCATGCGCTAGTTGATCGTTCCAAACGTTGGGTTGATTCAAATGGAACCTATTTTGAAGAAATAATAACTTTAAAAGATAATATAATATGTATTTCATTTTATATCCAAAAAGTTCGGTTATATCTGGGACACACCGTGTATGTAGCAATAATATCAAAAAAATTTTTTTTTTCATTTCAAATAATATTTTTAATTTCACTTTTTTTTAGCGACTCCAGGCTCTTTCTAGGGGAGTATTCTTTGCCCTATTCAATCTTCACTATTTATTTATGCCAAAGCCATTTGCTTCAAGCACGCGAAATTTTTACTTTACTCAGCAAAATAACTTGTGCAACAGAGGTCTTGAAACTTCAAAAAATTAATTTTTTTTTATTTTTTTTATTTAAAGGTACAAGGTGTCAGGAATATTTTTCCCAAGTTTCAAGTCGATCGAGACGAAACTGTAGAAATTAGAGAGTTTTATTACCTGCCGTCTTTGTCATGGCTTGACCGATGGCGGAACTTTAAACGCGTTTTTCTTAAAACCACTTTATCGAAATCGGTAGTCGAAGCGATCGAGCTTTTCCACACTTCTTTTAAGCATGTTTTTATAGTCTCTGAACGAAGAATTTATTTTATCTTTGATTTCAACTCATTTTACAAGCCAATTTGTGGCCTAATTTTATGCAAAAAAAAAATAGGTTTTTTTTTTTTAAAAAACGCTACAAAAAATCCAATTTTTATTTTTTTTTTAATTTTTCTTCATTCAGGAACAAAGCAAATTCACCTACTTTTAGAAAAAGTTTGGATTTTTGATTTCAGATAAAAATTGAAAAAGTTATCATGACCATCGCGAAAGCACTTTCTGGTGGGCGTTCTACTTCACGGCACTTAAAAGTATATTTACAATCAAAGAAAATATATGGTTTTTTCAATTGATTAACAATTCTATATTGCCTAATATTTTTGTAGGAAAGTTGTACAACTGAAAAGCCCAACTTTCGACAAATATGTAAGATATTACACTTCTCGTATGAAATCACTCACTCCAGATTCAAGCGAACATGTGGAAATGTCTTCTAGGATTTTACATAAAATAGTTCTGGCAGATGCTAAATTATTCAGTTTAGTGAAAGGCAGGACATCGGCAGCATAGACGGTGTAGTTTACTTTGTGTTTATCCTACCTATTTTATCGAAATCTATGACAAACAAAACGACTGAAAGTGGTGAACCTTAAGGAATAACATTATATAGGATGTAACTGTCAGAAAAATAGTAATTGATTCTAACTATGAATCTTCGATTCTCTAAAAAACTTTTCACATATTTATATATTTTAGGTTCAATCTTCCATTTTGCTAATTGTCTTAAAAAAAACATGGGCTCCGAGCCAAAGAGTATTTCACCCAATTTAACCGGTTTTAAAGACCCAATTCTATATCCCAATCTGTAAAAAGTTACTAATCCATGAATTTTAAGTCAATCATACAATGAATTCAATGAATCAAGCCGTATTTAAGATTTTCGTACATATCAGCCCCAGATCCACAACTTTTGTGAAAATATATGTAGTGGGGGATCCAAGGAGATGTTTAATACTTTGTTCAATAGCCTTTTTTACGGTAGCCGAGTGGTTAGCAATGCGTTCTGCCATTCGGAAGGCTAGGGTTCAAATCCCCGTACGACCAACATCCAAAAGTTATTGAAAATTAATTTAAATAAAAAATTAGGTTAAGTTTTCCAATTGCGGTCGCCCCTCTTCAGGGAATGTACGCACTTCCGAGTGTATTTTGGACATGAAATAAAGGCTCCTCGTAAAGAAAACCAGCAGCCGTTCGGTGGGGGCTTAGTATAAGCTGTAGGTCCCTACTTTTGTTCGAAAAAAAAAACATCAAGACGAACCACAAATTGGAGGAGGAGCTCGGCCGAAAACCGTTTAATTATATACATATGTATTTTTTGGCATTTTACCATGGAGAGACTGAACAACGACTTGTAAACTTTTTTTTCGAAAATTCACATTCTGTAGAGAATGTTTTTCAGGCGTACTATTAGTAACTCCTTCACCCATCTTGAGACCCAGCATTTATTATTGGGTAATATGCTATTAAATAGACTTCGTCCAGCACGCGGTGAAAAAAAAATATAGCGGCCGTAGCTGAGAGTGTACACGAAAACCCTGGAGTCAACTCGTCGCAGTTTGCAACAATTCGGTCTGACGTATGGAACGACCTGGCACATTCTACGTCCAGATCTTCAGTTGAAAGTAAAGAAAATACAGATTGTGCAAGAACTGAAGCCGTTCTAGAAAATTTCCAAGAAGATCCGACGTTTTTGAGCCAAAACTTTTCCAGCGTTGAGGCCCATTTCGGGCTGAATGAATATGTAAACAAGCGAAATTGTCGCATTCGGGAAGAAGAGCAGCCTGAAAATATTCAAAAGCTGTAATTTCATCCAGAAAAACGATGGTTTGGTGTGGCTTGTGTGCCGGTGGGTGGAATCTTCGGTTAATATTTCTTCAAAAATAATTTCGGTGAGAACGTAGCCGTCACCCGCGACAGCTACCGCGCCATAATAACCGACTATTTGGCTCACTCCAGCGATCTCTTCACTTCTCATCACACACATCTCTTCTCGAAAAAATTGTTTCACAAATAACATAGGCGAATAATTTTTGATAGTACCAACACGAAATAAATCCATTGGCAAAACAGAGGCCATAACGCACGTTTTGTGGTATAAAATTGTAGGTTGAAAATTACTTATTTACCTTCGATTAAAACCGCTCAGAGGAATTTGTGTAGAGTCCACTATAATAGCAGCATATTTTCCGTACAATTAAAATTAATAACAACAATAAACGTAACATAAGCCTGCATGTGGCGGCTTGCATTACTGTCATTAATGGATTTTGCAAGAGACCCACTGCAAGCAAACGAACGCACACATACACTGCATGTCGCACGCAAATGAATATTTACTCTCACTGCACTTCAAGTCTCATTCTGACATCGTGTCAATTCCCGCACTACAAATTGCAAACTCGGTTTTGGGTAGCGCCACTAACCGCCGAACCACTAGTCACCAATTGCCAACGACCAACGCGAAACCACAATTGACAACGTCGTGTGGGCAACTGATGCACCGGGCGAGAATAGAACCTTAAAGTTGCAGACGTGAGATGTGGACGTTCACATGCATACTCAAGTCGGCGACACTCAAGTGTGTCTTCACACACAATTGGTGGCAAGCGATGCAAATTATAATACAGTTGCTGCTGCTGCTGCTGCGGTTGCATGCACACGCGTGTCAGTAGCGTGTGATATTCCAACGTACACCTGCAATGCAACCTACGTACACTGCAATAAAAGGAACTAGTTACAAACTGCTTAGAAAGTAGTCGGCGAAATAGGTCTAAAAAGTCAGCGTTCTGCCTATATTCCATGCAGTTATTTCCATCAATTTTGCCATTTTATATTTTTTACAGCTAGATTCAGCTTGTTGTTGTTGTATCGGTTCGTTTACTCCGCTTTGGAGTAGCCTCGAAGTCATCGAGGCCATCAAACGGTAGGTCCTGGACACTAGCTGTTTCGACGGTTTCGGACCAGAGCAATGGGTGGTAAGTTGAATTGGTTTTAGGGGAATGCAAAGAGGTCGTTAGTGTCGTTCCAGGACTTATTGCATATAGGGCAATATTGCGCTTGCCGAGATCAAGTCTAGATAGGTAGGAGTTTAGTTCACTACAATATCCAGATCTAAGTTACGAAAGTATTATGCGGGACTTTTGAGGCAGCTCGAGCTCTTCATCCTCAATCGATGGTAGTTTGACTCCGAGCAGACAATTCGCTGAAAGAGAGTTCAGGAAGATGTTGACGGACTCCCGGTTAATTACGTATAATGACTGTCGGTCCAGCGGTTGTTGTAGGTGGTGCTGACTGCAGTCCTTAAAGTCGAGTACTGCCTCTCTGATGTGCGTACTTGGTGGCTCGGCGAATATGCTGCTCCGGCGGAATCAGTAGATTATCTGTCACGGTCCTAAGAGCGGTGATTTTGCAGGCTTGTAGCTTCTTCATCTGCGTTCCACTAGGTTGCGACAACCAGATCGTAGGAACATAGTTTATGGCCGAACGGACAATTGTTTTATGAATTTGCCAGAAACTCTTCTTTGTGTTTTTCTCGAGTGCTACCCGCTAACGTATTGAGTATTTTATTGCGACTATATAGGCTTGCGGCACTTGCAGTCGTGTGCAGAGTGAAGAAGTTCGGGTTGTTGAATGCTTCTCCCAATAACTTCGGGTTGTTTATAGTCGAAATTTGTACGCCATCGGCTATCACATCGAGTTCGAGCCGGTGCCACTTCGTTGAGCTGCTGAAGAGGGTAATCAAGGATTTTGTTGGTTGCAACTTGTCTTGTCCTTGCAGTGAAGAACTGGGAAAAGTCGTCCAAATAGCAATTCAATTTCAAATATAAGTCATCAATCTCCTGACCAGACGTCAATATCGAGCATCTAAATCGATCTAATCCCATTTAGGCCGACAGGTAACTTCTTCTTCAGTTTATCTGTCTTTAGCTGGGTTTAGATTAGGCAAAACTGAATTTTTTTCTTAACTAATTCTCTCAAAATTGAACGAAGCCACAATAATAAAACCGGTTGGTTTATATATCTATTGTAATATTTCGAAATGACATCGAAAGACTGTTTTCGTAGCAAAAGCTTGTGTTTTCATTTCTGTGAAATCTCTTAAAACGAAAACACATTGGAAACCAGTTTTCGCTGAAAATCACTTGAAAACTCACGCTCCACTCAATCCAATTGGTATTTTTCAATTTTTTTTTTTTATGGCAGTGGAAGGCAAATTTTGGCGTTTACGATTGTTATGAAGAGCAAGTGGAACAAGGAGTTATGTCATGAAATTTAGAACATCTCTCTTTCAGTGTTGTCAGATAGCGCTAATTTGGCTGTCATTCCCGTCAGGCGGCGAAATTCACTACCCATAGCCAGCGGCTACATAATTTTCTTCGTAAAAATAATAACTTGGTTAATTATTAAAAAAAATTTTAAATCAAAACTTATTCCAAATTGTTTCCTAATATTTATTAACAACAATTTGGTAAGCGGTCGAAAAAAATGAATCATTTTCAATCGTTTAAAATTTCCCACCACAATTGACCCAGTGTTCGATGAAGCTACAACACTGTTTCTTCTGAATATTCAGTTTTCCGTTTTTCTCTGCGCGCCCACAAAACAATACAATATTCAGTTCAAACATTTTTGCAATGAATTTTGCCTCCTCATTAATTTCAATACAATATTATATTAGATATTATTATTATTATTTTCTTTTAATACCAACTCTTCATTAAATAAATTAGAATTTTAATCTGCGCTTTCTAAAAAGGAAAGACTAAAACTTGATGTAAACAAAATCCGTTTTCAAAGTAATTTCTATATCGGTCTGAATATCATAATTACCTTAATTGTTTAACTCCGACTTCTGAATATTTGTGAAAGGTCTAAAGAGCGGGCAGGTGAAAGGTAAGTGAAAATAGTGCTTATTGATCAAGTTAAATATTTAACATTTACTTATTATTCCATAGAGAATCATGAAAATTTGATATCTGTACCAGAGATCTGCAAAGGGTGTGCTCGAGCCTGTTCAATCACACTAGCAATAATTTGGTACAACTCAATCATAACACTCGACAACATTGTGTTGGATCGAGTGGCACACAAGCAACGAAAACTTTGGAAACAGTCAATTACGAGACCCTATATACTACATTCGAGTTTGAGCAGATAACATGAAATTTGGTATTTTATACGCACATCTTACTTCTCGCTTTAGCTGAGCCTGATTTGTAATTTGGGATCGAAAAGAAAAATAAAATCCGAGTAAAGTCTCGAGTGCATACTCGCGTATTCAATCGAGTATACTCAAACATAAAATCAGGCATGTGGGTGCCGTAGAGTCCATCGTCTAAACAAAAACAATACTATGAAAAAATTTAAAAATCATAATAGCGAAAAAAATCATTTTATTCAAAATTTTGTAATACTTTTGCAACTGCAAACCAATAAATTTAGGAGAATAAAAAACAAGTTACAGAAATTTGATACACTGTGAATACGATATTTTCTGTTTTGATACTTTGATTTTGAAAATGAAAACAAAAGGCTTTTTTATTCTTTATAACAAATATGTATATTATATATTTTCATATAATGACTAACATAAAAATAAATTCTAAAATTCTAAAATATTATGAAAGTATAACATAGTAAAACTAATTAATTTTCAAAAAAGTTTAGTTAGTTAACACAAGTAAAATAAATAGTATTTCATTGCAGTCTTAAAAATCTTATAAAATAAATATATGTACATTAGGTAAAACAACAACATTTTAGAATTTTTACATTTTTCTTCCTGTGCCATAATAATAGATGCGAAAATCGCTATCACGACACACACTGGGATAAGATCGATAAACATGCAAACATTCGAGTATAAATCAGTACTCAAAAACGGTATTAAGATATTATGAATTCACATTAATTTTCTTAGATATAAGAAATTTGTATTTTTTTGTGTTTCTAAAAACAAAAAATCGGTAAAAATACCTGCTTCAGCCGTGAACTTCTCTTTTAGCATTTTTCGTAATTTTATTGGCTGTTTTTTTAGCTTCCCATTTAAGGCAACTTAGCTGCATCTCTAAAAAGATATACTAGTTCCATACTAGTGTACACACAACACTAACAGACCTATTCTCACTGCTACCGTTTAAGAAAATTTTTGTTACTTTTTTAACAGCCGAAATTGAATTTGGGATTCTGGCGAACTGGTTACAATGTTTGAAAAAGCTTTGGCAGCACTGCTTTTCTCGTCCGTGTCAATTTACATTTTCCATTTGGTGAAGTAAAAAAGAAAAATATTCGCATCGAAATGGAAGACGCTATACAAGAAAATAAATAAGTTTTATTTATGTGTTTATTATATCATAAATATTTGAACCTAATTTTGGAAAATATGCCTAAGCGACAAAAAAATCTGAATGAAAACGCTATCTTCAAAATTTAAAGAGCCATTTTTTCTCGCAAACTTCTTGGCATACTCCTTTTTACACATTTTTCTTCATCTTCAATGAACTCCAGGCCTAAAATACATATGACTATCCATTTTGGTTTTTATTTTTTCTCAACCTAATAACACAAAATCAAACAGCAAATTTTTTTTGCTTGCTATTTCGCTGGTAACAAAATTTACAGGGTGACAGTGCATTCAATAAATTTTAATCCCAAAGTAAATTTTATTACCTTGAGAGAATAGGCCTGTAAATGAGTTTTGAGCTAAGATTTTTGATTGTATGTTTAAAATAAAAATTATTTTTTATATATTTAGTAATACGATATATTTTAAAAATTTATTTTTTTATGATTAAAATAATAAAAATTGATAATTATTTACTCCGGCTTTAAGCAACGTGGCAAAAGCACTAATTCACCAACTCACTTATTGATATATACCATATTTTTGACTATAGGCGGGTATCAAAAAATTCGCTCGAAAAATTTGGCGAAAAATAAATGCCAGCGATCAGCTGATAGCGACCTTGGCTAGAGATTCGACAGCTTTTAGAATTATAATTTTTTCATTAAACAAAAGAAATCTGCTCATTACACCAAAGATTGGCAAAGACCGGATTTATGAATATGTCATGTCGTGTCATGTCGTGTCACCTACGTACATTCTAACTCTCGCAACTACGATGAATTAATTTAAAATTAGTTTCGACGCTTTGAATAATATAGCAAACATAGCGCAATGGACTGCGCATATGAGTCCAAACACAAACGTAGGCCCCGATGGCATACCCGCTGAAATGCTGAAAGTGATTGCATTAGCAAGCAAATAGTCCTACTATCCACATTGGACGTTCGAAATGCTTTCAAGACAGTGTCTTACTCTACTAACTTACCGACGGCCAGCGCAGGGCTCTATCCTCGGCCCAGACCTCTGAAACATCAGATAGCACATATCTCGTGGTATATGCTGACGGCATTGGCTTGACGAACGCAACAGAAAAAACCGAGTTGCTGATATTGACGAGG